ACCTCGGAGGTCTTCTAGTCCAACCCCTAGTCTTATTGAAAGCTTTGTCATTGTGTTTTTCTTTTAAGACGAAAGTGGAGTCAGTTGCTATTGTTTCCATTTTTTTTTTTGTCCCATGTAGATACAAACCTCGAAGGAGGACAGGAATATTCTCCTCTCCCCACGCAGTGATAGATATTTCTCTTCCCAACGGCCTGGAAGCAAATACAGAGGACTTGTCTCTTGTAAGTAATGTTGACATCCCCAATTAAAAAAAAAAAATTAGTAACACGGTTGTAAAACGTGGTTTCCCCATCAACTGTGCTTGTCAGAAGTTTGCCCCCCCAAAATAAATGGGTACATGATCCTACGACATTGCAACCATCATCAATATGAACCAGTTCTCAAGCATCCAGAAATAAATCACCCGACTGTGGGGATGCTGCAACGGTGGGAAAAACGGTCAAAAGTCACCTATTTCGGTGCCACTGTAGCTTCAAACCGTCACTAAACGAACTCTTGTGAGTCGAAGACCGCTTGTATGTTTTTGAACAGAGATAGGTCTTTCTAAACACACTGGGTCTCTCGAGCTGCGTGTTTTAGTTGAAAACCGTCCTGTCCAAATTCAGAGAATAAGTTTAAGTTCAGATCGATTCGCGCCGACAGCTATGGCGATTCAAAAGACCGTCGGGTTACAAAACGGGAATGCTTTTTTAAAAAAAAAAAAGTTTCTTTTTTTTTTTTCAACTGATGTAGCTGCTCTTCCAGAATATCTCGCTTGGCAAATATTCCTCCTTTTCTTTTCTCAGCTTTCGAATAGTGTTGACCAGCTGATTTCGAATTATGAGATAACGCCCGATGGACATGTCGTCATGCAGGTGGACTCGGTAAGTTTCTGCGGCTTTGTCACGTGGTTTTATTTCTCACAAGGCTTGTCAAATAGTCAATGATTTTTTTTTTTATCCTCCTGTTCTTCAGAGCTGCGTAATTCCAGCTCAGTTGAATAGTCCAATAGATTTGGCCTGGCCCCCCTTTCTCTCTCTCTTTCTCTCTCTCTTTCTCTCTCTTTCTCTCTCTTTCTTTCTCTCTCCCTCCCCTCTCTCTTTTTCTCTCCTTCTCTCTTTCTTTCTCTCTTTCTCTTTCTCTCCCTCCTCTCTTTCTCTCTTTCTCTTTCTATTTCTCTTTCTCTTTCTCTCTCCTTTCCTCTCTCTTTCTTTCTCTCTCTCTTTCTCTCTCTGTGTCTCTCTTTCTCTCTCTTTCTCTCCCTCTCCTCTCTCTTTCTCTCTCTTTCTGTCTCTCTTTCTGTCTCTCTTTCTCTCTCTCTCTCTCTCTCTCTCTCTCTCTCTCTCTCTCTCTCTNTTCTTTCTCTCTCTCTCTCTCTCTCTGCCAAGTTGAGCAGTGTGGCACACAGGAAGTGGGTTTCTGCAAACTGCACAGGCTAACAGATGAAGCGGTTTGTTCAAAGGTGCAAATAACTGAATTCTGCCAGTCCTCTGGAAGAAGGACAGCAGCGGAGATAACAGAATAACAGAGCTGGAAGGGACCTTGGAGGTCTTCTAGTCCAACCCCCTGCTCAAGCAGGAGACCCTAGACCATGTTAAAAACCTCAAGTGTTAGAGCATCTACAATTTCTGGAGTTAAGCCATTGCACTGGTTAATTGTTCTCACTGTCAGGAAATTTCTGCTTATTTCCTAACTTAGATCTCTCCTTGATTAGTTTCCACTCATTGCTTCTTGTCCTGCCTTCTGGTGCTTTGGAGAATAGGTGGACCCCCTCTTCTTTGTGGCAGCCCCTCAAATGTTGGAAGACCGCCATCATGTCACCCCTGGTCCTTCTTTTCTTTAAACTAAACATACCCAATTCCTGCAACCGTTCTTCTTAAGCTTAAGCCTTGAGTCCCCTAATCAATTTACAGTATATTTCAGGATTCCAGAGCCCTGCTTTCCAATCAGAGAAAATCATATTATATTAGCATTCCTGCTTAAATTCAAATGCCCACTTTCAGACAGAGCGACTGAACTGGTGTAAATATTCTGGGTTATTCTCTTTTTCTCAGTGGCTTCTGGAAAACCCCAAGTGGGATAGGAGTCTGGTGGCTTTTTTTTCCTGCCCCCTCCCTCAGCCCATGGGGGGGGTTTGCACACCCCTTCCGTGGAACTGATCTAATTCTGCAAATCAACTGAAGTCACACTGGCTCAAAACAACAGCTGATATAGCAACAGACCAAAGATTGGTCATATTTCGGCGCAAAGAGGCCGGGTGGAGAAAGGTCACGTGTGGTTTTTATGTATCCTGAGTCCATCTGAACTTGCATTATTCTGATAGATTCCAGGAAACGAGTTCCTGTGCGTCGGTTTCCGAACAATTGAAATTTACCGGGTTGGAATGCCAAGTCCAGGAACCTTCTCGGTGTATGACTATCACGACCCCGGTAAGGAATTCATTTTGGTCTGCTTTCCCACGAGAGAGAATCTGCCCTTTTGGGGCTAAGTATGCTGGTTCAGATCAAGGCAGCCTGTTAATGAATTTAGGCTGGTGATTTTAGTATTGATTATTCTACTGAATGGAATGCTGGCTCCTGTTTGGCATTCCGCTTTTTCAAAAATCTACCTTATTTCAAGAGAATTTAGCCCTTTCCTTTCCTTTCCTCGTCTTTCCTTTCCTTTCCCTTCCTTTCCTTTCCTTTCTTTTCTTTTCCTTTCCTTTCCTTTCCTTTCCTTTCC